TCCCATCGCCCGATAAAACACGATCAAGTAAGGCGAGAGATGATTGAGGGTTCCTCCTTTCTCTTCTTGCGCATGTTGGCGCGTCACCTTCCACAGGAGCCGTGCCCAATGCACTGGAGCTCCTGACAACACTAGCTCCACAAATTCTACCTGCCAACCATGCATGTAAGCGGTCTTGGTCGGCTGCAATATCTGCAGCAATGCAGTCGCGACATTTCTCCGCAATCGATCTTTGTAATCCCGTGTCCGGAAACCGTTCTTGGGATGCCTGGCAACTTTGAAGAGCTCATTGTAGGAGACTTCTTCCTCCTGGGACACCTTCACGCTATCGGCCTCGAAGAGGAGGTCCCCTTCCTCGCCGGCACACCTGCCCAACACCTGCGCCCAGTTGCAAATGTCCCATCTCTCTGGGTGTGGGCGGAATCCGCGAGAGGGCTTGTGTCTCTCCTGCAGATACTCGCGCATCATCTCCGGACATGTCCAGTTCCACCCCCATAGGAGAAAATCAAGCTTCAGCCTCAGCAGCACATCTTGAAATGCGCGTAGACCGATCTGCGGCACCCTGAGTGGAGACACTCGCAGCTGGGGAACCTTCGACATTGCGTTGCCTGCACACACAAACGTTCTCCCTTTCGCTCGCTCTCTCACAATCGCCACTGCGCGTCGGCCGCTCAAGCACTGACTGCTCACTCTCTCTGCGCTCAAGCTCAAGATCGCTACTCGCAATTCTCTCCAAGGTCTGCCAAGATCCTTGCGCAACTCGTCTCCGCACTCTCTACTCTCACTGCAGGTCGCTCCGCCCTTGCGCGTAATCTTGGAAACTGGAAATCGCAAAGTCAAGAATGAGAGAATGAGACTGGAGCGCAGTCTTTTCTTCTCCGATTTCAAGAACGTCCAACGTTCTTACTGGTTACAACGTACGCAGCCGGCTATACGGCTTAACGGTTCGCCCTTTGCATGCGCGAATTCACGTCTCCGCACTGCGCGCATTCGCATGCGTAAATGTTGAATTCTCCCGCCGCCGCCACCTTCCGGACTCGAGTCCGCTGCAGGGTATACGTCGGCCCTGTTGTCTTTTCCTAACCCGTCCCTCACCGGAGGCGTGTCGCCGCTGGTGCGTTCATTATCCGTCGGCGCCTTGCTGGAGGCGCACATCTAGTCGGAGCGAATTACGCCGGCGCGCAGTCGTGCCGCTTATTTTGTCCTTTATGCCTCGTCCGTTGCTGCCGGCGCATATCCGCCAGCGCAACTCATGCCAGCGCATCCGGCCGTCAGCGCCACGTCGGAGGCGTACATCCGACCGGCGCTTTCCTTCCATGAACAGCCGCCAAAGGCGCTTCCGACTCTGAGTTGGTTTCCTCCTATGAGTGCGTGATTCCGCCGAAGGCGCATCGCCGAGGGCGTACGGGAATCCTTTCCGGCTGTGAACCCTAGCGCGAACGGCGCATGTCCGGCTACGAGTTTTCCGACGCTCATAACTTCTCCGTCCCTGATCCATCTCCGACGCTCTTGGGCTCGTTAGAGCAAGCGTCTCGAGCTCTTTCTAATGCGACTTCAACCAACTGGATCTACCGTGTATCCCAATCGTTATGAAGGTTTTCCCTTTCCGCGCTAGCGGCGCTTCGCCGAAGGCGCACTCATGGTCGGACGCCTTTAGAGGTCCGGGCCCTTCTCCTGACGTCTTTAGCAAAACCTCCTCCTGAGGTGTCTGCGCCGGAAGCGTAGCTTCCTTATACGCTGGAGGCGCGTGAGTAGGGACACCTCAGAAAAGGAGCTTTTGCCGAAGGCGCCGAAGACATTGGCGTTGGTACCTCCGACTACGTGATTCTTTGTGTCCTCGTGACGATCTCATCAATCCACTCTATTTAACGTAGCCTTTTCTAACTACAAACACTGCTTCGGTACTAGTTTTCTAAAATTGTTTAAATTCTGCAAAAAAACAAAAAGTGTGTTACCACATGAAGGATGGCAGAGCTTTCAAAATTTATGCTTCGGGAGGCAGTGATGTGTTCTTCGTTTTCGAGGAAGAAGGTGAAGACCTTGAGGTGGCGAAATACTGGGCTGAAATAGACATGATGTTATTTTTACCCGACCCTCCATTTCGCGGAGCACATGAGTTTTCTTTATGGGGATTTCTGCCGCATGTCATCCATGACCCTTGGTGTGCAATAATTCCAGCGCCCGGAGTAAATGCACAGCAGGAGTGGAAAACACAGCACCAGAGAGATCTGTAATAGGAGGTGGGGAACTCTCCCAGAGAAGAGGTCGTAGTGGAAGTCCGAAGAGAACTTATAGGAGTTTCAAAACAGATCAGTTCACCGAAATATAGGTCTTTGGACTGCACGGATTTTAACAACTAGATGTGTGCAGGCATGATGATGTCGAAGTAGTTTAGAAGGATGGAATAAAAAAAATCAGATCCCCTTCCGATGAGCCAAACGTGTTTTTCTCCCTTCGGTTCCTAACCATGCATAAAAATATCCTTCAAGTACATGAAGTCCTGATTAATCTAGGATGTTCAAGGATATGAATTGAATTGCATTTCTGGAGTATTCATAACTCTCCAGTATACTGTAGGCTGAACTGATAGGGCGATCAATGTCATTTACGATGATAGCAATTGAGAATAGCGATCTCTGTAGATTGAACTATTTAAACTGTTCTCTTCAGGGACCGCGACGGGGGTGCTGATCCAAACTCACCAAGTCAGTGTCATATTCATTGACAACAACTATGGCACTGGCTGACATATTCTCAAGAGCCAAGTTTGTTCAAACCGTCGAGGACGCTGGAAGCTTAGATCTTCATTGCTCTAGTTATGAGTTTATACATCGGCCAGAAATTACGCACTTCAACTTCCGTCGGGTAGAGGACTATGAACGTCTTCAAGAACAATAAGATAAAAGCATGTTCCTGCTTGTCACAATGTTATTGATACATATGTGTAATTACCAAACTATTGCAATACTATGTGATTTTTTTGGCTGGTCTCTGATTAAAGTAAAACTTGTGGTGCGAAGTTTTAAGTTTGGCAATCGTGCCATACTTGAACCCGTTCCTCGTGCTGTACGAAGACCAAGTTAGTCTAAATAGAATATTCCAAAATCGTAATATGTGTAAAAGATGCATAGTGTGATACAGTTGGATAAGTATTATTAGAAAATCGATAAATACAGAATCTTTTTACCGATTCCCTTTTTTGTTTTGTTTTTCCAAATCACGGATAAATCGAGGTTTAGATTTTATAAATCGTGATTTTTGTTTTAAAAAATGTGATCAATAGTTTCTGCTCTGTGTAAACCCCCTTTAAAAGCTAAACCTATGATATAGGGCCAACCATGACCTCCCTTATTTAAATTATGCGCAAACTATATGATTAGATTTTTTTTTTAATATGACAATTAAGTGAAGTTTTTTAAACAAATCAAAGCATAATTTTTCCAGCACGTTGGTTGAGGATTCTCTTTCTGAATTTCACCTCTTTCTCTGCTCTCAGGTAATTTTTATCTATTCAATTTCAATATATCATTCTTATTCGTTGTTTGTGTATGGTCATTGTTGTTGATGAATTCCATAAAAAAAATGGTATTTACTCAGCATTAATCTTTGAATATCTGCTCAAACACATGAGAAATAATTTCAGACTATGTAACCTTATCAAATCTCTGTTACGAACAAAATTTTTTTCTCAGCTTCCCTTGAGCTAGTATTAAGGAAATAAAGGTAGAATCTACTGGCTCAATAACATTGTAGTCCTAGGTTTTATTTTTCAGCTACCTCCACCGTGAAGCAATGGTGAAGAATAACTTCATAAGCTAGTTCGACTACAAATTTCAAACAAACAGTTAATTTGTTTAGAGTGTGGTCGTTCAATTACAGCAGTGGGTCTAACTTCCATCATATGTCTCAGTCTACAACCATCATTAGAAATATGCAGATTACATTTTATTTCTAGAGGACTGCATGACGTGACAACTAAAATGCAGTCTTATCCACTTTTTAGTCGCAATCGTGTCAGTGGTATCACCCCCGCTTGTAGCAAATTTCGAGGCGGAGAAAATCATGAAGCACTAACAAAGAATAACTTTGCTAGTGCTTGTAATAGGAAGTAACTTGACTGTAAGATATCCTTCATTCTACCAATTTCTTTCCTGAGAAGGAAATAGATACAGAGGGTTATGGGATGAGTTTTCTCAAGTTTTTCTGTCCATCCGTACTGCTAGTAGTGTCTTAAATTCTTTGTGGTGTAATCATGGGAGATTGAGCTTATCAGTAGGTTCTAGTGTTGAAATTAAGAATCAAAATATTCAGTGCCCATCCACAGCTAAGAATTGACCAAGTTGGTTAATACTTTATTTTATACTTGGACCGTGAATCTAAATTAGATGCAAGTTAATTAAAATAAAGTGATAGAAACCCAAAATTTGATGTTTAAAATTTCAATAGGAGATAGAGAGTCTCTAGTTTTGATGGTAGGAAGTACATTTGATCGAGTAGCACAGACATTCTTACACGAACACTCGAGCCACTTTCGGTTGTAGTCATTTATTATCAAAACTAATTGTATATCTCATGACTTTCTCTATAGTGCTACTGGAATGTGCGAATAATTTCTCTCTCTCTCTCTCTCTCTATATATATATATATATATATATATACATATATGCGTCTACGACCTGAGCTACTATTGAAAAAACCTTAGAATATAAGCCTTGAGATTTAACCTGTTGGACCTTCTAAGACCTACTTCCTCAGCTTCTCCGACCTTTATCACAATCACTAATTTTTAATTCTCAGAATTTTCAGCATCTGGAGTATTCGCCTATGGATGAACACTCGTATAACTCACAGTCCCGCTCACTAGTCCTTGTTCACTGTTAGAATAACACTACTGGTACTCTTAGGTTCAGGTGTAAGATTTAGGGTTAGGGTTTGAGACCGTTGCTCCTACATATATATGAGCACATTCAATTTGTTTAACACAGAAGCTGATTATCACCAGTGGTGGTTTCTTACATTCCATTCCAGAACGTAAGAGTTCCGAACATGACAGGAACTTCTCTCGTTGTCCGACCATCATCTGTTCTCCTGTGTTACCACTCTTCTCTCGTTCACACATCGCACATATGAGGTTATTGTAGCATAAGATCTTTCTCATCTGAGCCTATTTGCAATGAGGGTGAGATTTTATTACGGATATAATCGCAATCGACTGATTACTGTCCCTTCTGAGATGTCCAAATATGATTTATAGATGATATTCATGCTTTTTCATCCTTTAGAGCTCGTTCGTTGCAATGGAACTCGAAAGACAAGAGGATCGACCTCAAGATATATGGGACTCCTTACCTGTTGAATTAATGATTAAGGTTCTCAGAGATCACGATCTGCCAGTTTTCACTCTTGCGGAATGTCGTTCAGTTTGTAAGAAATGGAGGGATCTCATAGATGGTCCGGAATTGTGGCACAAAATCCGGTACACAAGTAATTTTTTATGATGCAAGTATTGGCTCTACGGTCTTCTTATGATATTTGATCTGAGCGAAGAAAGATGGAAGGTCATGGAGGACAAGTCAGATGGCCTTCACATACTGCGTATGAATGTCGTGTGTGCTTACTCGCATTATTTAGGAGCTATGACGGAAGCTTCCTCCGTCATCCAATGGTCCGGAGAATAGATGAAACTCTTATCAGGAGAACTAGAGATCTATGGGATTGGGAGGATGGCAGAGCTTTCAAATGTACGGTGCAGGAGGCAGTGATGTGTTCTTCGTCTTCGACATATTGGAAGCTTTCGACAATGAAGGTCAATACGATACCTTGAGGTGGCGAGATACTGGTCGGAAATAGACGTGATCGATTCTTTACCCGCACATCCTTATCCAAAAAACTATGAAAATCATGTTTGGTATCCGAGCCGAACGTCTTCATCGAACCTTGCTTTGTAGTAATTCCAGCGCCCGCAGCAATGTACATAGACTACTCATTAAGATCATACTAGCATACTCCCCTAAAAAATAAAGAGCAGCAGAGACATCTGTAGTAGGAGGTGGGGTATTCTATCAGAGAAGAAGACTTAGTGAAAGTCCGAAGAGAAGTTATAGGAGTTTCAAAATAGATCAGTTCACCGAAATATATGTCGCTTGGACTAAACCGTTTTCTACAACTAGGATGCCATTTTAAGTTCATGTTAGTCTGGAATGGGCTGGTTCTTTTTCAATAAAATTTTGATTTTTGTGTTTCTTTTTTGAAACTCTCATCTTCACTATCTATTTGTGAAGCAGGTTATCTATGTTGATGCGTTATTAATAAGACTGTCAATCATTATGAGTGTCGAAGAAAGTGAAACTCGATATGCAAATATTTTAGATCTTCCCCTTTCATAGACATTACTTGCGAACTTGTACTCAAAGGTTAGTGCTTGTGATGATGATTAGTTATAGGTGTTTCTGTGTCCTAACTATACCACGATAGCGGAGATTATTTATTGGTATCAGATTGGACTTCTGTGAAGGTTCGTGAAAAATTCTAACCTGGAAATGCACGTGTAGTGGAATAAGGCATGAAATTTGATCTTTGATGTACCTCAAAGACTTTGTTGTAATTTATGCGGGAGCCCTAGATAAAATTTATGCGTGATAGTACCACCAATCTGATTGTCTTTGAACATGAGTTTGAATGATGATGTAATTTATAGTGAATGCCCAATGAACGTTATTTAGTACACTTATGTGTTGAAAAGAATTATCTCAGTAATTGGAGTATGCGGCTATGGAAGAACATTTCTTCACTTCACCCGTCCAAACCCGGAGTGCAAGACAGACTTCCTAGTTCAAAGAAGATTCAATATGATCAGATATAGAAAGAGAGAAGGCTGAAGACTTCTTCAATCATTGAGTCACGTATAAACTCATCTATAGCTCCTTAGTTACGTATGAGAGGTGAGTTTGGAACTTAGACTAGATGTACATAGATATATAGCAAGTAATTATCAATTATCAAGTCCTTCATAGAAAATCAAAAGATGAGACATCGTAGTTTTTCATCTTTCATTCTAAAACAATATTACAGTTTAGTTTTTAGAATAAAAAGAATGTGTTTAAATTGAAATTATGGCCAAGTTTTAAATCGAATGATAAACGTACACCGAATCCAATGTGACATGCTGAAATCGAGCTATGCATAACTCCCAGTTACGCCTGCAAGTCCGTATTCTTTAGGGGTCTTCTCGGCCATTTGTGTCATCTTCGCTCACGGGGCCGGTAAGTTCGGATACATGGACACGATCTGGGACGTGTACAAGAAGGGTCAGCTCTCGAAGAATGTCCAGCCTCGGTCTGATAAGCCATCGGTCTTGTTATAGGTCTGGCCACTTACGGATACAATGTCACCAGACCCATGGGAGTGAAGCTCGCGAAGCTGACACCCACCAGGGGATTCGCTGCCGAGCTTGCCACAACCTTCGTGATTATGATCGCTTCTCAGTTCGGCTTGCCCACCTCGTCCAGCCAGTGCATCACGGGAGCCATAATCGGAGTGGGTATCCTCGAGGGATCGAAGAAAGTCAACTGGACCCAATTCTTGAAGCAGTTCGCCTCATGGGTGACCACATTGTTCGTCATCGGTCTGGCTGTGGCCGCCGTGTTTGCCCAAGGAATCTACATTCCCAGCAAAATCCAAGGAAAGGAGGTGACCATGTGCAAGGATCGCGTGACGAATTTGACAACTAAAGTGTACAAGGACTTCAACTCCAGCCTCCAGAGCTACCGACCTGTTGCTGCCCAAGGCCTTCTCGTCAACCTCCCCAACACCACCTGAAATGAGCTGAACGCCACGGTAGCCGTCAATGCGAAGGCCACCAAGAACTTGATAGACCAGGTAATTAGTTCTATGAGCAGGAATCCAGCAGGAATCCAGCTCGATGTTGATAGCGTTTCGGTTCTCGGGCGTGATGCTAGGTGTGCTTCGATCTTCAGTACGTGACCTGTGACTGTATTTTCTGACGCTGGGTTTTGTTGTTGTTTGCAACAGTTGCAGTGGATCCATCCTCGATGCGTTTTACAAGTCACTATTTTAAAACTTATTCAACATCAATCATCTCAGCATGTCAATCTGGATTCTGTGGTGAACGTTATCTTTCAGTTTAAATCTTGGTCAACGTTTTGAATATGAACCATTCTTTTCTAAAATCAAAGACTTCACTGTTAATTTTTTCTAACAGGATTTATTATCTTCTGATTTTTATTGTGATATTGATAAATGAAATCTACTTTCCATATATTCAATAAAATTTAGTTTCAATCCAATACTTCACACCTTACAGAAAATTCCTAGGTCAGGTCTAATTAAAGAGGAACATATGAGTTCTTAAGTGGCTCAATATTAGAATCAGCATTACATGTAGTATAGCGTGAAGAAGTGGATAAAGTGTTCATCCATAGGCGGATACTCCAAATGCTGAAATATATTTTTCCCAACACCTGAGTGGACTAAGTAATGTTGAGTTGGGAATTCGCTATGAATTAAATTGGAATGAAAATTTATGTATCAAGCCACTGACTTGAACGGTGCTATTGTGCATAAATATTGTCTAGGGCTATTGGAAGCTGCATAAATCATAAATTGTAGTTCAACTTCATTCCGCTAGATGGGCTTCCAGTTTTATTCGAAGTAAGTAATTCTCATGGACCTCCACATAACTACACTCCAACAACAATATATAATATGTTCTGTTGTAGGAAAACAAAGTCATAGAAATCCTAAAACTGCTAGATGTGTGCTTAAAGGAACACATATTAGCAAATATTCCATACGCTTGGAATACATGGACAAAGTTGAAAGTAAGACTGGTTGCTTCGCTGATGCTACACTAAAATGGACAGAGATGTTTAGTTTGGAGCCGAAATTAAAATGATGGCCGTGTGAATGCACATATAGCGAAGGTGAATCTTTGCTTTTCAAGGATTGTGCATAAGACACAACTATTCATCCTCATTCTCCTTTACATGGTCAGACAACGGGAAAGAAATTCTTGGTGTATTCTGAGATCTGATGTACTGGACCTGCAAGTAGCTGAAAACGTACTCCACACGAGGCTCGAAGAGCTCGCGGAATCGTGAATCTTGTCGTCAATCTTGACGATTTTATGGATATCCACGTCCGTGCCGTGAGTCGCTGCCTTGCTGAATCCCTGCCATCTTGTCAATTGAGCGGGCTCGGCATCGACGGGAGACACTTGGTTGGAGCCGGCTGGGAGTTCTCATCTCGGAAGCGGTTTGTGGAGAGAAGGCTGTGGACCTTCCCTGGATAGGATTGCCCTCGCTGCAAAGGAGGGCAGCATAGACGACAGACAGAGTCAAAACGCTGAGAGGAGCACCGATGAAACCCAGCCGAGCCGAAATTTTGAAATTCCCAACGACGGGATCACCAACACCATGCCTCGACAGACCAAAAAACAGACCGGTGAACATTTTCTATGAATTCAGTCAGGACGGAATCTGCGGCATGGGGAACAGTCTGATTTTAAACTGGGGGCATGCAGCTCCCTGACTCCAGGAGGTCCCGAGCTGCACCAGGCAAGCTTGTTAGACAGTTGGTAGTTGATGATCCCGTTGTGGACTTTTTTGTGCTAAACCAGGTGCCAACGATGTGGCTAGTGCTCTCGGAACGTACGTCGGGAGCAAAACCCTCACGCTGAGGCAGGCCGTCATTGTAAGTAGAGCATGCTGCCCCTCACCATCCAGCTGAGCGATTCCGAGCTGATGAAAGTCGCGATTGGCTGGAGTCGCTCTAAGCTACGAATGCGAGTAACAAATCCAAGCAGAGCATTGTGCCTCCTAGATTCTATAGAACGTACACAATACCGCACTCCAGGATATTATAGATGAGACTTTTAAGCTGCTGAAACGTGGACTGTCTGATCAGACCGACTGAAAATTGACTTGCAGATTGCGTCTCTATTCGAGTTTGCCGGAGCCCTTCTTCTATGAAGAGTGTCAACGAATACCATCGCGTCCGGTATAGCGGACATCAACTCCTTCATCCGTGACCCGAAAGTTTAGGCTTATTGCATGGTCTGCGTCTTGGGAGTTGGTACTATTTGGCTTCTTATTACTTCCTACTTGGGACTGAACGTGTCGTCCTAAGGGGGCGAGACATGTGCCCACTCCATTTGCAAAGAAATCTGTGGGTGGTTTATCGACTGGGTGAGAGCAAGGAGAACTTATGTACACATGATTCTCTCCTTGGTGACATTATCATAGCATTCGTCTATTTACTCGGTATTTTAGCAGTTGCGCGATGCTCTCGCGGTTTAGAGCGTCTTCCCGACAGAGATATCGGAGGAGTAACCAGTAATTGGCTATCATACTTCGTACCTATATAAAGTGATTGTTGTATTTTGAGTTCTTGGATTGGTGTCCTTCAGGTGACTTCTGTTCTCGATCGTTGATATGTGCAGAATGACCAAAGGTGAGAAAGTTCTTCCCAAAAAGTGGAGCAGAAAGTGGGGCAAAGCTTCGAGAGGCCCCGGAGGCCCGGAAAACTTTTCCTGCCAGTACAAGGGAGTGCGTCAGCGGACTTGGGGCAAATGGGTAGCAGAGATTCAGGATCCAAGGGATCCAAAGAAAAAAAAAAAATTGTGGTTGGGGACTTTCAACACTAAGGAGGAAGCTGCAACGGCTTATGACCTGAAAGCTTTAGAAATTTTTGGTCCTAATACTCACCTCAATTTGGAGAGTTCTCGTGCAGCACTTCAATCCAATCAGAACACCGTCGTTACACCATTGTTCTCCGTACCTGTGCAAACTTTATTCTCAAAAACAGATTCATATTCTCAACCTCAAGCATTTCAATCCAATCAGAACACCGTCATTACACCATTGTTCTCCGTACCTGTGCAAACTTTATTCTCAAAAAAAGATTCATATTCTCAACCTCAAGCATTTCAATCCAATCAGAACACCGTCATTACACCATTGTTCTCCGTACCTGTGCAAACTTTATTCTCAAAAAAAGATTCATATTCTCAACCTCAAGCATTTCAATCCAATCAGAACACCGTCATTACACCATTGTTCTCCGTACCTGTGCAAACTTTATTCTCAAATACAGATTCATATTCTCAACCTCAAGTTTTTGAGATTTCTGTGAGTTATCACCTAGGCTCATATTTTATCATTTTGGTCAGAGATTTTGTGTTTGTGTTTAAATTTATTTGTAGACCGAATGGTCTCATGATTCTATTCTTACTACTCTTATGTCATCCGGGTATATATTCTTGTATATTTTGTTGATTTTTTCGTGAAAAAATCTGTTATTGTGTTACAGCAGGAACCGCTGAAAGCTGAAGCATTGTGCAAAGATTCGAACTCGAATAAAACTCAAGATTCTTTCATACCTTTAGAAGTCAAAGGTGTGAATAAAAGCGAGGAACTTCCACCTCTAGAGGTGGAAGTTACTCCACTAGACACCGACTTCAAAAATTTGGACAAAGAACCAGATGTTGACTTCACATCGTCTTTGGAGGAGATTAAATTCAAATAGGATGGACCTGGATGAGGTGAGTTGTATTGATATTATTAATAAAAGTTGAATGCATTGCTCCTCCTCAGAAGACAACAGAGGAAGAGCAATGCATAACTTAACGACGTGCTTTTTCTGAATGTGTTATGTCAGGTCGGATCATGTTGCACTGATCTGGCGAAGACTATCGTATGAGAAGCCGAGCCTCTTTGGTAGGGCATATTTATCGAGCCAGGTAAATTTCGACCTGAATATTTGGTTGATGTCATTTATTCCATTCTCGGGAGAGAACAGTCCTAGATATGCGGTCTGAGCTATTCTGACAAGAATGAAGGACTGGCGATAAAGATGACAGGACTTGAGCAGAGCGCTACTGCATAGATATGTACGGATGAAAGAGTCCAAATAGCACACAAGTAGCAGCAGTAATCTGACGGACTGGATTTGTTTGGCATGTACAGCTGTCAAGGTCTGCTGATGGATACAGACAGCTTGAGCAAGTCGGCGACTTCCACGAGCCCTGACCACCAAATGCTTTTGAATCTGTCCACAGGAGCAGGCTCGTTGTGCCAATTTGGCCTAATAGATCATAGTGAGTATCCACTAACTCAATCAATCAATCAATCGGTGAAAACGCATGTGCTCTCAGGCTCCGCTCTGTCAACTTTTAGTAGTATCAGCCGTTAAAAGGTCGGTCTGTCAGACGCTTCATCCTGGTGCGTACTCATCTTCGTCTTCTTTTTGTCTTCGTCTATGATCCAGTGAGAACGGTATATTTAGATCCAGAGGTTCTGAGATGGCCAAAAAATACCACGGGATGATGGAGACAATGTACAATGTACAGATGCGTCCCGTCCCACTCCTCTTCCTTCGGCACGCAAAGCCAAAAAATTCAACGAAACTACTCTCGCCCAAAGAGAGTCCTCTCTCTTCAGAAGCGAGGCGGAAGACAACTCCAGATCCTCCCGCTCGCCGACTTCCAATTCTTCTTCGTCTGAAAGAACCGCTCCAACAACTCCGCCACCACCCATACCACCGACAAGCCCTCAACTTCGACTTTCGACTGCAGGGCCATGCATACTTTACTGTTCATGTACTATATTGTTATACGATAAACACTTGACAACTGCAGTATACATATTCTCCAAATGTTTCTAGAACAGTATTTGTCACTGACGGTACATTGACATGATCACTGTAATGTTAAGCGAATCCTTCAATAAAAATACATTATGTTTCTTTGAAGGGACATACATATCAATTTAGGGATTACCCTAAATTATCTATATTCCATATTGGTAAATGTAATAACCCACTAAAGGCTAAAACTGCAATATAGTGGTAGAAAGGTCGAACCCACAGGGACAGAGGAACACACAGGGTACAAAGTGTCACGTTTTAACAGACTATTGAGGAGTTTGAATTCTCAGGCAACTGTCACTCCCAGAAATACTGCAAGTGTCCACTCGGAGCGCACTCGGAGGTCGCACAGTGCAGCGTAACACACACACACACACACCTGAAATTACAGAAACACAACCCAGAGATCCGTTAGGACCTCTACTTCAAGATTTCAGGGGGGAAGTCTCTCGCGAGCACACTCGGCAAAGCTGCGGGCAGTGACTTCCAACTCCGGCTTTTACAACACTTCCACTAGCTTGCTGCTAGTGTAGGAAACCCGGTTTGGACTGCCTACTTCGGATCGAAGTCACTCATACGCGGTGAACAACACTCTCAACTCACAAAACGCGCAGAGAACACAGGTCCGCACTGAAGGACTCACTGTGAAACATTCCAGTAACACAACAACAGTCTATTGAAGAGTTTGAATTCTCAGGCACTTGTCATTCCCAGAAATACTACAGGGGTTACCCTCAAGGCACCTGCTGCAGCGTAACCTGAATTCACAACCAAGGCTTACACGAAGTAACAAAACTTCACTTTGGCATTCAGGGGAAAAATCCCAAGGGAGTACAATCAGAAAGAAACACTCGAAGGTGTAGGGGCGAAACTGTTCAAGTATCTAACTAGTCACTGGCTCTGAGCATCGGCAGTCACCCGCAGGTGCAGTTCCGAACTACTCAAGTCTCTAACCAATGTACTAGCTCTGAACATTCGGCCGAAGGCCTTCAGCTACAAAATGCGGAACGCTAAGTTGTAACTCCTCGTGCGTGGTGACAGAACTCAAGGACACAAACACGCAAAGGAAATGGGTTCCTGATCTGCACTTCTGATGGGAAAGAACCCCAGGCAAAACGCCTGGAACTATTTTATACCTTCTAAATCCTACCTAGCGCTACACTGCACTACGCTACACGCCCTGTGGTAACACACTTTTTGTTTTTTTGCAGAATTTAAACAATTTTAGAAAACTAGTACCAAAGCAGTGTTTGTAGCTAGAGAAGGGTACGCTAAATAGAGTGGATTGATGAGATCGTCACGAGGGCACAAAGAATCACGTAGTCGGATGTACCAACGCCAACGTCTTCGGCGCCTTCGGCAAAAGCTCCTTTTTGAGGTGTCTCTACTCACGCGCCTCTAGTGTATAAGGAAGCTACGCTTCCGGCGCAGACACCTCAGGAGGAGGTTTTGCTAACGACGTCAGGAGAAGGGCCCGGACCTCTAAAGGCATCCGACCATGAGTGCGCCTTCGGCGAAGCGCCGCTAGCGCGGAAAGGGAAAACCTTCATAACAATCGGGATACACGGTAGATCCAGTTGGTTGAAGTTGCATTAGAAAGAGCTCGGGACGCTCGTTCTAACGAGTCCAAGAGCGCCGGAGATGGATCAGGAATGGAGAAGTTATGAGCGTCGGCAAACTCGTAGCCGGACATGCGCCGTTCGCGCTAGGGTTCACAGCCGGAAAGGATTCCCGTACGCCCTCGGCGATGCGCCTTCGGCGGAATCACGCGCTCACAGGAGGAAACCAACTCAGAGTCGGAAGCGCCCTTGGCGGCTGTTCATGGAAGGAAAGCGCCGGTCGGATGTACGCCTCCGACGTGGCGCTGACGGCCGGATGCGCTGGCATGAGTTGCGCTGACGGATATGCGCTGGCAGCAACGGACGAGGCATAAAGGACAAAATAGGCGGTACGACTGCGCGCCGGCGTAATTCGCTCCGGCTGGATGTGCGCCTCCAGCAAGGCGCCGACGGATAATGAACGCACCAGCGGCGACACGCCTGCGGAGAAGGGCGGGTTAGGAAAAGACAACAGGGCCGACGTATACCCTGCAGCGGACTCGAGTCCGGAAGGTGGCGGCGGCGGGAGAATTCAACGTTTAAGCATGCGAATGCGCGCAATGCGGAGACGTGAATTCGCGCATGCAAAGGGCGAACCGTTAAGCCGTACAGCCGGCTGCGTACGTTGCAACCAGTAAGAACGTTGGACGTTCTTGAAATCGGAGAAGAAAAGACTGCGCTCCAGTCTCATTCTCTCATTCTTGACTTTGCAATTTCCAGTTCCAAGATTACGCGCAAGGGCGGAGCGACCTGCAGTGAGAGTAGAGAGTGCGGAGACGAGTTGCACAAGGATCTTGGCGGACCTTGAAAGAATTGGGAGTAGCGATCTTGAACGAGCGCAGAGAGAGTGAGCAGTCAGTGCTTGAGTGGCCGACGCGCAGTGGCGATTGTGAGAGAGTGAGCGAAAGGGAGAACGTTTGTGTGTGCAGGCAACGCAATGTCGAAGGTTCCCCAACTGCGAGTGTCTCCACTCAGGGTGCCGCAGATCGGTCTACGCGCATTTCAAGATGTGCTGACGAGGCTGAAGCTCGATTTTCTCCTCTGGGGGTGGAATTGGACGTGTCCGGAGATGGTGCGCGAGTATCTGCAAGAGAGACACAAGCCTTCTCGCGGATTTCGCCCACACCCAGAGAGATGGGAAATTTGCAATTGGGCGCAGGTGTTGGGCAGGTGTGCCGGCGAGGAAGGGGATCTCCTCTTCGAGGCCGACAGCGTGAAAGTGTCCCAGGAGGAAGAAGTCTCTTACAATGAGCTCTTCAAGGTGGCTAGACATCCCAAGAACGGATTCCGGACTCGGGATTACAAGGATCGATTGCGGAGAAATGTCGCGACAGCATTGCTGCAGATATTGCAGCCGACCAAGACCGCTTACATGCATGGTTGGCAGGTAGAGTTCGTGGAGCTAGTGTTGTCAGGAGCTCCGGTGCATTGGGCACGGCTCCTGTGGAAGGTGACGCGCCAACATGCGCAAGAAGAGAGGGGAGGAACGCTCAATCATCTATCGCCTTACTTAATCGTGTTTTACCGGGCGATGGGATGTTTGACGAATGCTGAGAAAACTCGGTTTCCGCAGCTGAGCCGGTCTTATCCAGGTAGATATTCGAGGGAGGCCGAAGTAGACACGGATCCGGACGAGGAACCTGCCAGTACGCCTCCGGCTCCGGCTCCAGCCAGAGCAGCAGAAGAACGTCGAAGTGAGCGCGTTCCGCGCAAGCGGAAGTGGGATGAGAGACCTGAGGACAGGCAGCCGGAAGTACCAGCTGCGCCGACTCGTGGTCGGCCCACCCCCGAGCCTCATAGTCGACCAAAACAGAGGGCACGCAGAATGCCAACTGTTACTGAGGAGACCAGGCGAACTCCGACCCGGCGGAATCTCACACAGGAAGAGATAATTGCTCAGGTCCTAGGGAAGACGGCAGAAATCTCTGCATAGAAGGCACCACGGCCTTCGGGAGGAGATGGACGGACTGACAGCCGGCCGACTGCGAGTCGGATGACTGAAGGTCGACAAGCGGAAGGAAGGCCAACTGAACGGCGCGTTGAACCGGACAGCAGGCCGGAAGCAGAAGAGAGTTTGGCTGACGAGCCAACAATCCTCAAAGGGTCGTCTTCGGCGGAAGGCACTTCTGGAAGAACGCCCCCAACAAGCAGGCCAAGTGGAGTCAAGACGCGCAGGGTGTATCCGACTCCCAGTCGGACAACTGCTGGTCGGCCGACTGCGAGTCGGACAACAGAGAGTCAGCCGGATTCGCCGACTGCGAGACGGATGGGGCCAACGACCAGTGTGCGGACGCCTTCGGCGGACGCACCCTCAGCAAGGACACCTTCCGCGCAGATTATGCCGGAAGGACAGGCAGCAGAAGCGGGCGGTGCAAGAGTGACAAAAGTCACTGCGGCGTCGACCCCTTCACAAACCAAAGATCGAGTCGGAACTGCAGGAGGAGCGGAGACAGAACAAAGTCCTAGCAGCCGAGCTTGCGCGCCAGACGCGCGCCTTAGAGGAAAGTCAAAGAGCCCGCAAGGAGGATGAGGAGTTGTTGTGCAACTTGCAAACCGAGTGCTCGGATTTGAGGGCACAACGTGCGGATTTAGAAATGCAGCTGGCAAAGGTGGAGAGCAGCTGCAGGGCGCGAGGAGAGTTGGCGGCACAGGTGACTCGTTGTCTAAAAGGATACACCCATTGGGAGGTGGCAGCCCAAGAGAGGATCACACTCAGGGAGTTCGAGCTTCGGGCGGCGGCATTGACGGAAGGTGACAGTCGGAGTCGGCGGCGAGTGGCGAGAAAATTAGAAACTTTCTTGTCGGGTGCGTGCGACACTATGGCGCACTTGCAGTCGGAAGTCACCACAGCGCTCCGACGCCTGGGGTTACGCAGCCGGTCGGAAGACTGGCAAGGTAGAGACAGTAAGCGGAGCAGTCCGGCGCGCAGGAGGCGCAGCACCGGATCTGCTGAGTGCAGTAGAGTAGTTTGGTTTCGCGCAGATGCTGCGAGTGGTAGATAGGATAGCGTAGTGCTAGTTAGGATCTTTTGAGGGTATAAAGTAGATCAAGGCGTTTTGCCTTGGGACTCTTCCAGTTTCGGAAGTGCAGATCAGGAACTCACTTTCTTGGCGTGTTTGTGCATTTTGGTCCTGGCACCACGTAGAGAAGCTGCAGCATAGCGAAGTTACCGTATGTTGTAGTTGAAGGCCTTCGGCTGAATGTTCAGAGCTAGTACCCGGTTAGAGACTTGAGTAGTGCGGATCTGCACCTGCGGGTGATTTCTGATACTCAGAGCCGGCTGCGAGTTAGATACTTGAACAGTTCCCCCTTACTCCTTCGAGTGACATATCCTGATTGTACTCCTACGGGAAGTTTCCCCTGAATGCCAATGTGAAGTTTCATTACTTCGTGTAAACCTTGGTTTGTAATTCAGGTTGTGTGTGTGTTACTGGATCGTGTTTTCAGTAAGTTCTCAGTCGGGTCTGCAC